TAGCAGAAACATTATTTATAAAATTGACATGCATATATAAACAGCAGCACAAAATAAATATTTCTTACTGCAATGCTTTATTTTTGTTTGATGCAAACTATACAATTATTTTTCATAAAGGAACAGACTTTTTATAGCAGATAACCTACATTCATGCACATTTCTCATTCAAGGCAGCATGATGATGAGAAATGTAATTCATTGTTACTATTATTGTCATTTTTCATCATCATTAATATTCTATAGCCTAATTATTAGACATTCATTTTGGAATTATTGCACACAAATATCAATGTCATCTCAGCATTAGTTAGATAGTTGTTTCTGGTTTTTGTCAGTCCTATTGATGTTGCTTTAAAATACAATAAATCCCTTAAAAAACTATTTGCAGCGGTGCTCATTCTTTTTTGGTGGGTGCTCCTAAATTTTTTCTGGTGCTCCTAAAAATTTTTTGGTGCTCCTAAATATTTGAAGTTGGGAGCACCGGTGCTACCAAGTAAAAAAGTTAATTTTGAGCCCTGATATGGCTGTATTTTTTATTATTTTGTATTATTAATTTTTGAAAAGCTTGGTTATGGATGTTAGACCTCTCTGTCATGGATGTATCGATGTGAAATTGGCACCTGTGTGACTTTGGTAAATCAAATATAATGGTTTAAAAACACTGACAGAAACATTTTTGAGCATTTTTACAGTGCAAATACAAGCCTACACTAAAAAAAACAACTTTTAAGGGGCTTTGCTTTTTATACTCCACAAGAAAATGCACATTTCGTTGCATTTGCATGTTTACTCATTAAACTGAATTATAAATATATTATCAGCCAGATACAAGTTAAGCACTACTCTACAGTGTGCTTCAGGCTTTATCTACTGTATGTGTGTATGCTGTTATTTATTCATTTATTTTCTGTGTTGTACACACAGGGGTTCTGGTATGCAAGACGGTTCCTTTTGTACAGACCACAGCCATCGTAACTGGAATCCTCACCATGACCTGCATCGCCATCGAGAGATACCAGGGCATCGTGTATCCGCTCAAAATGAAGCGGCAGTACACGCCGAAAAGGGCCTACAGGATGCTAGGTGAGGTCAAACACCCACACAACACTCTGATTACTTTCACATTCACATAGACATGCAGAGAAGATGAAAACAAATTGACTCAACATACCTTCCCCGAGGCACATCCCTGCTGTTCGGGAGCAAGATTCACTGGATACTGTGGAGGAATAAAAAAAAAATAAGTTGAAAACCTTAACATGCATCTGCTTTCCACAGTTGTCGCATAAAACATTAGTGTATAAAGCAGTGTTTCCAGTCGATAAGAAACAAAAGAGACTAAAGTCATCACTTCCTGTTAAACTTGCACAAATATTGATCAGAGAAGTGTAGTTGATGCATTGGGAGAAGCCACAATGGTGTTTTTTTCTTATTCTCTGATAAATGAGTTGCAACAACCAGGGCTTTACATTAACACCCGCCAACCCGCCAAATGCGGGTAGATTTCAGCTCTGGCGGGTTAGACAGACACCTCCACTAGCCACTTTGGAGATGCAGTTAGCAGGGCTCGAAATGAACCCTTTTGCTTGGTAGCACCGGTGCTCCTAACTTTAAAAATGTAGGCGCATCAGCCAAAATTTAGTCGCACCCACCAATTATAAGCACCATTACTACAAGTTTTATACAAGCAGATTTATTGCATTTGAAATCAACACTAATCAAACTAACAAGCAAAAAATCTATGTGCCCTCCAGAAACTTGCGTTCTGTGAATGAACGTCGCCTCGTGGTTCCATCCCAAAGGGGGAAGAAATCACTTTCGCGAACGCTCACGCTCAATCTGCCCAGTTGGTGGAATGAACTCCCTAACTGCATCAGAACAGCAAGAATCACTCGCTACTTTCAAGAAACGACTAAAAACTCAACTATTTAGTCTCCACTACACTTCCTAATCTGTAATTGCCTCTCTGAATATCACACTAACTGTACAAAAAAAAAATAAAAATATATATATATATATATATACAGGGCTCGAAATTAACTTTTTTATTTGGTAGCACCGGTGCTCCCAACTTCAAAAATTTAGGAGCACCAGAAAAAATTTAGGAGCACCACCAAAAATGATTGAGCACCGCTGCAAATTGTATTTTAAGGGACATATGTATTTTAAAACAACATCAATTAGGACTAACAAAAACCAGAAACAACTATCTAATGCTGAGATGACATTGATATTTGTGTGCAATAATTCCAAAATGCAATTAGGACTAACAAAAACCAGAAACAACTATCTAATGCTGAGATGACATTGATATTTGTGTGCAATAATTCCAAAATGTGTCTAATAGTTCTAGAATATTAATGATGATGAAAATGACAATAATAGTAACAATGAATTACATTTCTCATCATCATGCTGCCTTGAATGTGCATGAGAAATGTGCATGTGCATAAGAAATATTTATTTTGTACTGCTAAACAGCATATATATGCATGTCAGTTTAATAAATAATATTTTTGCTGCAAAACAAACAAAAGATTATAATAAAATGTTAAATTCAAGGCTGAAAGCTGCAAAACAGTCATCAGTAACCTAACTAAATAAAAAAAATAATATACACCTCAAGAAAGAATAGGCAAAAGAAAGTAAGTAAAGTCTCACTTCTATCACTCTTTATAAGTTTTGGTTTCAGTTTGTGTCAATTTAAATGTTCCGTCTGAGCTGATTTTCATTTTTCTGTGTTTGTGGAAAAGCAGGCGAGTCAGCCGACCCAATTTATGAGCAGGTTGACCATCGGCGCAATACCGCTGTTTGTTATGAGACGCAGTTTCAGTGTAAACTTAGTAAAGGCGAGCTTCTTTGGCGATGATACAGTATTAGATTTGACTTTTAGCAGACATTTGCGCTGAACATGCAGTGAATGCGACGCATGATGATTCGGGCACCTTCTCCAAGAAGCGCGTACTCGATTGATCTCAGCTGGCGGATCAATATTCACCACGTGTCATGATCGCTCTCATCTGTGCCTCAGCTTTAGGTGGGTTTTGCACTTTGCAAACCTGCGTGCTTTAAGTTTTCACTCTTTAGCCGTTTGCATTTCCCGTGGACATAAAAGCTCCCTCCCTGTCATCTAACAGTGAAAAGCCTTGGGTGATTGACAGCTAATATGAACCAATATAGAGGCAGGGAAGAGCGATTCAGCACGTTTAAAAAAAAAAAAAAATCAAAACAGGTCGCACTAATGCGCCCAAATTTACTATGAGGTCGCATCGATTAATTTTCGGGCGCATATGCGACCAAAATGGTCGCAATTTTGAGCCCTGATATATATATACTAATACTACTAATACTTCCCTTCTTAGACTTTACAGACCTGAAACTTGCTTATAGCACTTATTCATTGTTGCTCTTGGTTGTGTAAATTGCTTCCTTGTCCCCATTTGTAAGTCGCTTTGGATAAAAGCTTCTGCTAAATGACTAAAAAAAAAAAAAATATATATATATATATATATATATATATATATATATATATATATATATATATATATATATATATGCAAGCGTGAAGAAAATATGTCTCAACGAAATCCCGTTATCACAAGAAAATACATTTTTATAACATAACTGAATGACCAAAGATACACGAAGCGCTCACCAGCCCTGCACGCACTCGAGATCGAGATCTTTTTTTAATTAATCGTGCAGTTCTATACTGAAGCACTGTGATGACGAACTGAACGCCTTTCACAATCAGCACAACAACATTTCAGATCTGCAACAATGGAAAGCTGGAAGCATGGAGAGCTGCAAACTCCATTAATGCAAAGTCCCTGAAACGCATTTATATCTGATCAGCATCTGTCATAACTTCAGTCACATCACGTAGACTGAGTTCATTCACTAAATGCATTTACAGCAGAGTTTATGCACATTTTCTCTCATCGGATAAAAAGTTTATCCCACTCAGTGGTGCGCATACATACTTTATGCACATTTTCTAAATGTATGCACATCTTGGCATTTACATTAAAATAAAATTATGCCATATTTCTAAATGCACATAAAGATAGGTGGACGCCAACAGCGAGTGTCACCTTGGAGGGCAGGTTTCAGAAGCGAATGAATGTCTCTGTAGGTCCTGATTATTTGTCTGATGTAACTCCCATCAGCCACTGCAGCAGATTACTAAAGCACAGAGCTCATGTCATTATATCCACACACTGCTGGGCTCTTTGATATAAGGGCTTCATGTGGAAATCTGGGCCTGTATTCACAAAACATTTCATCCTAGCACTAAGATCATGGAGGAAATGGCCTGAAAATCTGTCTGGTTGCATTAGTGAGGAAATCTGCAGGTATACAGCTGTTTGATTTACACTTGCAAAACACAATAGGCTATTTTAATAACATCAATGGGATTTTGCTCAAACTGACATTTATTTTTGCAAAGTGGTTTCTGTTTGTTTTGCAAGTCGAGTGATTCTAGAATTGAGTTTTATTTGATGGATTTAATCAAAGTGTACAAAATGAAATCTATTACAGTAGGGTTGTCGCGATACGATTAGTTCATCTTATGATACTTGTAACACAGGGAGTGACAGAGACAACTGAGGTGAAGATCCACATGCAGGTTTATTCGGATAGTCAGGCAAGCAGTGGTCAATATGAGGGCAATCCAGACTCGAAGTCAAATTAACAGGCAGATAGTCAGATCCAGGCAGCAAACAGAATTAAACAAATAAACAAGGCAAAGGATCAAAAACACGGCAAGGAAGACAAAGAAAACGTGCTGTAGTGTCACTGCAGCAGATAACAAGACTTAAGCCTGGTTTATACTTCTGCGTCAAGTGACCGGCATAACCAACGGTGCATGCAACGCGCGTAGCTGTGCATTTATACTTCTGCGCGCTGTCTCTGTTGGTGTTGGTGAGTTTGTTAAATGGCACTGGCGTTACTATTTAGAGATCTGCGCGGGACTAAATTTTGAATCCCACTCCCGCCCGCACCCGCCAGGTTTTAGCCCAAACCCGACCGCTCCCACTTATATTAAGAATTTGTTGTCCCGTTGCCCGCCCCGCCCCGTTTTCTGGCCACCGCGCCCGATCCCGCTAAAGAGTGGGGGAGAACAAAATAAAAACAAAACCTGTATAAACACACACACACAGCACCAAGCACACACACACACAGACAAAGCTCTCTCTCTCTTTCATACGCTTAATTGCACAGCCCTAGTCTGCTGTGCATCACAGACACCAATATTTCAACAATTAAAAAAAATAATTAATCAGTTTTAGGCATGTAAATGTCATTGGTTTATTGCATTTATTATTATGATCCTTCACAGTGTTTTGTAGTGTGAGCAGTTTTATTGTTTACTGCTGTATTTACTTAATAAAATAGCAGCTAATGAAGTCTCGACCATTCAAAGAACACAGATTAATTCTCCATTGAAAAATAAGACGGGTAGCGCTAATTAACAACCTCGGCACTCACACAAGACCAGCCTTTAAAGATTTAAGGTTATGGTTTTAAAAAAAATCCCCCTGTGGAGAACAAAGCAGCATGAAACCATCATTAGACATCATTGTTGGGCAATAAGGTGGCACAGAGAAAACAATATATAATAAACTGTGTGTATATAGGAAATGGGGCCGGTCAGAAGCTTTTGTTCAGGTATTTTCACATGAATGTGTGTTTTTCATTAACATAACCAACCTGCTAATGATCTGATTTATTTACATACTGTGTGCAGGGCTGGTGTGGATCGCTGCTGTCATGGTCGGATCTCCAATGCTGTTCGTACAACAGTTAGAGGTGAGCGACGCCACTAAATTAAAGAAACACAGAGCACACAGTTAAAACAATACATGAACGCACACATACACATATATTTTAGTGGTAAATAAATGCAGTCAACACTCTGATCATGGCTCGTACTACTAAGAATGCAACAATAACAGAAATATTTAGTACTAATGTAATGCATGCATTGAACGGCAAATCGTGGCAAATTATCATAATAGACCTTGGGTTGGGTATCGAAACCCGGTGCCATTATAGCACTCGTACCCTTGTAACCGGTATGTACCGGATCAAATTAGCATTTGAATTACTGCACGTGATTTCAGTGTGATTTTTTAAAAAGACTTTGTCAAATAAAAGATTTTTCTAGAGTCATCCATCGTATTTTGTGGCTTAAAAGTATCGGTTCAGGCACCGTTTTAGCACCGATACCTTTTTTGAAGTATCAATTTAGCACCGGTATCGTAATAACCCTAAACGATATCCAACCCTAAACATAACGCATGAAAGACAAAGACTATATGCCTTACACCATAGATATACTGTATACATTAGATGTCGCCTGGCCTGTTGTTGTCTATTGGACGGAATGTGTCAATAGAGCCGCCATCTTGGTACAGGGTAGCGCTCCTTTGAAATGAATGCGGGACCAAGCTGCAGTGGAGGACTGTGGCCATCTAAAGCCAGAGATATACACATATATCTATGATCGGGAGTTTTCCTTGATGTTAGTATGTAATTTTTTTTTTCTAACTACGAAAATTATAATTTTACATCACTTTTCTACATTGATGGATCAGTGACCGCACGGCCATTCCTGACAAAAAGCTTGTGTTAGTGTGTATGGAAATGTACTATTCACCCTCCCTGTTAAATTTAATCTAATCATGTCCTGAAACACAGCTCCTCTCCTGCTTTCACTTCTCATACTGACGGAGGGAGCGATTCGCTTGTGAATGAATCCCCCGAACGACTCTTTCACTAGCCAACAATAATACAAGTTTCTGGCAGCGCAGCATCTCGTTGTCATATTTCTTTTGCATTGTTTGCTGATTTTATTCAACAAAACTAGCATAAGCAGAGTGTTTAGTGCGAGTTGGAGCTGCTTTGACTGATGGTGAATGCAGTAAGTGACTGTTATCATCAATAACGTTACCTGATTAGCACAAAAGTTCAGAACATACAAAAACAGAAAAAAACGTAAAATTACCTATAAAATGTTCTGCCTTTGTGCTTTGTTTTCTTTGTTTGCTCGTTACTACACCCGTAGACAGCGCTAAAGTCCATTATCTTCACGTAATAACACTGTCTTGACTAGTGCGGTTGAATGACATTTGTCCTGGGAGCACTGTACCAATGTGGCGGCGTTATTGACGCATGCTCAGGGTCCCTATGCAATATCTAGTGTATATATCTATGGCCTTACAATATCAGAGTCCTGCTCAGACGCATTGCAGCAACTCATAATAACTGGATGTAATGTAACTATGTAATTAGTACTATATATATTAGGGGTGGGACAGTTCGCAAAATTTTGTGGTTATGATTTTCAGCTTCATTTTGCTTTTATTGTAAACAATTTCCCTATAATAACACTTAAAAATCCCCCACATCAGCATAAAGTACACAGCTTTCGAAGGTTCCATTTACAGTATTAATAAAAGTTATTGAAAGAAAAATGAAAGAGACAGCTTGACCTTATTAATAGATGCATTATTTTAATTAAAGACACATGTAATTTGGGCGGAGTGTAATTTTGGCTGCTGTGTTTCACCAATGTGTACTTTCACTTCTGTTCACTTCACACTGTTAATTATGAATATTGTGATGTAATGTTATACATTCAGCCGGTGTTGCAGAGCAGGAACATGTATTTAAAAAGCCCACAGTATTGGTGAGCTGAGAGAGAAATGCAGAAGTATTGAGTTTCTGCTGTGTCCTGCTCTGGAAACTGAAACTGATAAAACCTGAAGCATGCGAGTTTTCAGCCTTAACTCTGAAAGAGATGCTGTAAACTTTGGAGAAATGAACAAAGGTAATCTGGGATGGACAGAAACACACCAACAAACTGCTTCAGAGGCTGTTTACATATCGCATGAGAGAGATGCGCACACACTTAAGGAAGGTATCCATCGCATATACACACACATTT